GCTGCAGAGTTTTTTAGGGTTCGTTAATTACGTTCGTCGGTTCGTCCCCGACATGGCACGATTAACCGCCCCGCTGACCGATCTGCTACGCAAGGGGGTCGCTTTTACGTGGGGGGAGAAAGAGCATGCTGCCTTCTCTGCCCTGAAAAATGTCCTCTGTTCACCACCCGTCCTGCGCATCGCTGACCCACATCGCCCCTTCGAAGTTGTTACAGACGCAAGCGACATCGCCATTGGAGCCGTACTGTTACAGGACTTCGGCAACGACCTACAGCCCATCGCATACGAATCACGAAAACTGCATCCGCCCGAACAAAATTACCCGATACACGACCGCGAAATGCTCGCGATCGTGCATGCGTTCAAAGTGTGGCGCTGCTACTTGACCGGCGCAGACGTGACAGTACGGACAGACCATCGATCCCTACAGTACCTCTTCGCACAGCCCCACCTCAACCCACGACAGATTCGGTGGCTCGACTTCCTCGAGTCAAATTTCCACTACACAGTCACCTATAAAAAAGGAGCCTCGAATATCGCCGACGCACTGACCCGCCCCACTGCCCAGATCCATGCGATACTAATCGCCCAAACCAGCCCGCTACTGACAGGACTATTTACCCACAGATACCAAACGGACCCATTCTTCACAGGAGGAAATTCGCAGCAATTTGCAGTAGCCAAGGGAGTCTATTATGTAAAAGCCGGGACCAAACGCATCTGGGTACCAGGGTACACACTGCTACGGGAATTACTGTTACAGGAGGCACATGACGGAGTTACCTCGGGGCATTTCGGAGTAGAGAAAACACGGCAGCAGCTGCAGCGGTATTATTATTGGCCCGAAATGTTGACCGACGTACAACGACACGTGGCATCGTGTCCCACTTGCCAGATCATGAAGTCAACCCGGAAGCGGCCGGCGGGACAGTTGCAACCAATCCCACCCCTAGAGCGTGCTTGGCAGCAGGTGACGATGGACTTCGTCACGGGGTTACCGGCTGAAGCGAGTGGGAATGACGCGATCCTGGTCGTCGTCGAGCGACTGACGAAAATGGCACACTTCGCAGCCTGCAAAAAATCAATCACGGCCGAAGAAACAGCCCGCCTCTTCATCTCCACCGTCGTTCGACTGCATGGGATACTAGCATCAATCATCAGCGACAGAGACACGAAGTTTACCAGCAACTTCTGGCGGAACCTGTGGCAGCAGTTCGGCACGCGACTACAGTTTAGTTCATCATATCACCCCGAAACCGACGGACAGACAGAACGGACAAATCAAACCATGGAGCAACTCATCAGGGCCACGTGCGACGATCCAAACACTTGGGAGCAACAACTGCCACTCATCGAATTCGCATACAACAACGCCCCATCCGCCACGACCCAACAGTCGCCGTTTTACCTGAATTATGGACAAGACCCAACAGTACCCATGACCCCAAATCCCGACAACCCGGTTTAGGGTTTGCAACAGTTCGCTGAAATTCTGCATGCAGCACGGACCAGGGCAGCAGACGCAATAAAAAAATCGAACATCATCGCTAAACGCAACGCCGACCGCCACCGCAGACCTGTCACTTACCAGCCCGACGACCTAGTTTTACTCGACACTCAGAATCTCCGACTGCCCATCACACCCAAACTCCGCCCCCGATACTGTGGGCCATTTCGTATCAGCCACATGATAACACCCATCACCGCCCACCTCCTCCTCCCTGCTGACTGGTACGTCAGCCCCTCGTTCCACGTTAGCCTGCTTCGCCCCTACGTCCCATCCACAAGCCAACTCCCACGCAATCGCCCAGCCAGCATGGCACGACCGCCAACCGAACCAATCATCGTCCCCGACAAAATCCTGAGCCACAGACTTCGTGACCCCCGAGGAGCCCGAAAGATCGAGTTCCTGATCCGCTGGAAAGACCGTACACCCACCGAAGACAATTGGGTTCCCCTGGACAGAATCGAAAACCACCCTATTCTCACCGAATATCTGCGCAGCTGAAACTTCAGGGACGTCCACGCACTTTTGTAGGGAGGACCTCCTTAGGAAGGGGGGGGGGGGTAGTGTAAGGAAAATCGCTATTCCTTACTTCGCATCCCTGCTCAACGCGTACATCACTGTAGCACCACAGTCAGCACCGTTACCACTCGCGATCCTCGCCTCGACAATCGGCCCGCCATTTTCGCACATCGCATCCCAACGTCACGGCTCGGATGGTAACCCGCGCTACGGGCCTCCACTTCGACACTTTCCCAAACCTCAGTCCCAGGCCCGTCGCGCGACAACCACAGTCCATTATCGTTACCACTGTAGTTTCGCTATATATTCTTCGCTCATGCCTTCGCTCATGGTACTCTTGCTTCGATAGTGCAATTCTCGTTCATTCACTCAATTGCACTCGTAACACATTTGAAGATGTGAAGAAATACATTCTAATGAATACATCCTTGCCAATGTATCTATCATATTTTCCTTTTTCTCATCTTTAGGTTTTAAAGCTTACAAAGATATCAATCTTGCATTATGTTTTAGACATGTCAAAATATTTGAATACCCGGTTAACACATCATTTCCTGTTTTTTAATCAGTTCACTGGAGGAATAAGAGGAGAAAAACATAGACAAAACAAAAAAGACATGTGTAGAAGCCACATGTTTGTACCTGATACTCATCACCTCAATTGATACTTATTAAGCAAATAAGCAGTATCACTATGGAACGCCTTGATCACGTGCACCTCCCTGTAGACTGATTCAATGTCAATCACAGAATACAACGTTCGACCGGGAGTCCATCCAAGTCGGGTGCATCCAATTTTCGCATCCTCTCCCGTTCTTGACCAATACTTAACATATGCGAGCTCCTTCTTGCAACCATCAACCAATGCATGGAATAGGAGCAAGAGCTTTCCATATCACTCAGTATCGCTCCCATCTTGTGCTGTCCCTTTGACCGCCACATCCGAAAACCATGGCCGTGAGTATGAGTCGGGAGCGGCCCTCACAAAATGAGCGACACGTGAAAAGTGCTCTCCCTCGGCTGGTGGAATGGCCATTGTTGTATGCGCCTGCAAGATGAAAGCATTCCAGAAGAAAAACTCCCTGATGTGGTTTCCATTGGCATGCTCCTGCAGCACCCCGAAGCCACCCAACGCCAGTGCCAGCTGTGGGGTCTTGGTGTCTTATGCCTCCCACATGGTCCACACCTGAGGGGAAGCATATAGGGGTAAGGGGAGAAGGGTTTGATGCTGCTGGTGGCAGGTGGCAGCCTGTGCGGCAGGGGCGCACTGGAAAAAAAAAAACGGTTCGCCTCATGAACAACACCTGGGAGGCAGAGGGAGATGGAGAGGAGGAATTGGGACGGGCGTGAGGAGTGAGTGTTGCCAAGGGCTGGGTGCCGTTTGTGCAGCGGTGGCGCTTTGGAAAAAAAAGTGATTGCCTCATGATCAACACATATGGGCAGAGCGTGGTAGGGTTGAGGAGTGACAGGGTTTTGGGCGTGAGGATATAGTGCTGCAACGGGCTGGTGGCAGAGGGAGATGGGGACAAAGGGGGAAACACAACATGCCTCATTATCAACAACTGGGTGGCAGAGGGAGATGGGGAGAAGGGGGAAGGGGGAAGGGAGATGGGTGTGAGGAGATTATGCTCGTGTGGCCTGGTGGGAGCTCGTGAGGCAGAGGTTGATTCAATCCAGTGCCCTTTGCCCCATGTTTCGCATCTGGAGGGCAGAGGGAGGTAGGGATGAAGGGGGAAGGTGGCTGGGTGTGAGGAAATTATGCTCGTGTGGCCTGGTGGGAGCTCGTGAGGCAGAGGTAGATTCAATCCAGTGCCCTTTGCCCCATGTTTCGCATCTGGAGGGCAGAGGGAGGTAGGGCTGAAGGGGGAAACTGGTAGGCCGTAAGGAGTTTAGGGTCTTGTTCTAAGGTGCCTCGGCCCATGATCAAGTTCCAGGGTGAGCACACGCATTAAGAAACGATGGAGGAATGGGGAAGGGCATTAGGATTGATGCTTCTTGGGCTGGTTAGCAGACGCATCAGGGCTAAATCAGCTTGTTCTCACAATGTTCTTCACCTAAGGGGCAGAGGGAGATAGGGGAGAGTGTGGCAGTGACGGAGGGAGGAGGGGAGTGAAGTAGAGTGGATCAATTGGGAGGGAGGAGAGGGAGGATGGATGAGGGAAGGCGGGATTAGTGCACAAATGAGGACCCAACTGTGTGTAATAGTATCTCTCCATTGCGATGAAAACACATTGCATGCGATGCAATGGGTGGAATTGAAGGATTTGGATGCCATATTAATTGACATAAAGAACATAATAAGCATGCATGGGGTGATCCAGTGAGTATGACGCATGAGCTCCTTACCCGAACCTTGCTTGGCGTCAGGCCAGCACGTGTTAGTGCCCCTTTGAATGCGGCATGTGCCTCGGGGTGCTGCTCGCTCCACCCCTTCACGAAATCGTTCGTAGAATCGGTGGCCCCGGTTGGTTCTACCGGGAAGAAGTGTGACTCCTTAGTCATCACACGGATTCCTTCTTCAATGGCCTATACATAAGACACAATAAGTGCTGAAAATCGCACCATTACAAATGCTAGTGCACGAGTTACACTCGGGTCCATACCGTAGCCATAGCGGTTTCTCGGCCATGGTCCGACTCCTCGTCTTCCCACAAGTCGAGTCGTTGCTTGTGACGCTTCATTATCTGTTTGTCGGCGTCTCTTTTGTTCGTACGGCGGTATATTTGTTTCAAGAGAACGCTGTGCAGGTGCTCAAATAGGTTCGTGCTATACTCTTGCACACAACCTGCCCTTCGAATGGCAGGAACGAAATGCGTCATCAGGTGCATTTTGATCAAGTTCCACTCTGATTTTTGGTCAGGAAATGCTTTCACCAATAGCTTCACGAGCCTGTGTCAAAAAGGGGAATTTGGAAAAACAGGCATGCCATTACGCCAATGACAGAACTGGGCACTCCAACGGCCCCACATTGAGCCTAGGTCACCCTTGTGCAAGTGGTCTTTGCGGGCGCATTAGCATACCTGCCTGCTTTCCGCTGTAGCTCTCGTAGGCTGGCCTCGGTATGAATGTGGCTGCTACAGCAGCTATACCAGTCAAGGTACGCGCGTATCGCCTCGAGTTGTGGTGCATCCAAAATATCTGCCACTATGAATATTAAAACCTGCAATCATGGGGATGTGACATGAGGGCTCATGGGTCTGCCCAAGCATATTGGCCATGGGAATGGAGAAAAGGACTGCTGTGGGGTGTTGTGGGGATGTGACACACGTGGTAGAAATGTCAGGCAGGCTTTGTGGGTGACAATAAGCGTGCCGCGGCATCATGTAGGGTTGTAAGAGAGAAATGGCAGGAGGGTGGGATGACGTGTGGATGGGACATGGGTGCAAGATAATCCAGTCAAAATCATGGCTGTGGATAACAAGCGTACAGGACCACAAAAAGATACAACTTTGTGGGCGAAATTTCAGACTTACGGTGGGGGTTGGGAGGGGAACGGTGGAAGGTAAATAAGTCTGTGTGTGACCGTGGTGTGAAAGAGGCATGAAATCACTCACTAAATCAAAGTTCCAAAACATGGCTGGCCCTCATCCTTACCTGCATGACTGCCCTGTGTTGGAATGCTGGGACCGTAGCATTGCTTTCAAAGTATTCCTTCTCCGGGAACCGCATCGAGTTGATACGGGTGGCTTCTTGAACAATTTTCAGCCTCCTGTTCAGGGGGGGTGGCTAGAGTGGTTGTTAAAGGAAACATAATGAGAGTATCGAAACAAGTCCGCCCAAATTTCTAGACTGAGTTAGTGCTGGCAGGTCGATGCATGCAGCCATGGCAACATCACCTAACCAGCAGATTAGGGACGTACTTATCAAGCTTCTTCACCGCCCTTGGCAATGCCGTGCGAATGCACTTGATAATGTGGTCCAGTATCCCCAAATCCGCCATATGCATGATATCTGGCATAACTGCTAGATAGGGGCTCGCCCATGGATGACCATTTATAGCCCATTGCCACAGTGCGCACTGCCAAACAATGGGGAGGAGTATAAAAGTAAGGTATGGGATACACATACAACATTAGATGGGCAACACAAGTTACAAAGTCAGTTCAGAAATCACAAATCCCCAAAATTAGCGTCATACAAAATACTAATGATGTCCATAAACTAAAGTCAGACTATGATTCACCTGGATCTTTGCACCTCACCCCAACTAGCACATCCATGAACACGCATGCAAGAGCTCACCTCAACGGCAAACGTTGAGTTTTTCGATAGAGTGCTGTCATCATCAAATGTTTCCCCCTCTGCCTGAGACAACACCCATTGTTGCTGTTCTGGAGTGCGTACAATATGTTCCATGTTGACTGATGAGAGGTTGTCCTGCCGCAATAAGAAAAACATAGCAACTAAAATTGGGCCACTAACAGGTATAGAGAGGATCGGTGGCCAAGGTACAAAGGGGTAGACAAAGACATGCCATAGTTAGAATAGGAGGCGATGTTAAAGGGAACCCATTTAACATCTGCTGCAACATCTAAGGGTCAGTGGGAGATTGGGAGGAGGTAGGAAGGGGAGTGGGGATGAGGATTTCATGCTGCAAATGGCTGTTGGCAGCACCTGCCCCACTGGCGCTATGAAAGGGACCCTGCTTTCCCATTGCTCCACACCGGAGCAAGATATGGAGAAAGGGACGAGGTATGCAGGTAAGTGGGGATGAGTATTTGATGCTGCTGATGGCTAGTGGCAGCATGTGCAGAAAAGTAGCGCCTTGACAGGGATACCGTCTACCCCTTGCTCCACACCTGGGGGGCAAAGGGAGATAGGGAGGAGGTAGGAAGGGGAGTGGGGATGAGGATTTTAAGCTGCTAAGGGCTGGGGTCAGCATGTGCAGCACTGGCCCTTTGCAAGGAAACACGTTTACCCCTTGCTCCACACCTGAGGGGGCATTGGGAGATGCGGCGGAGGGAAAGGGGGATGGGCGTGAGGATTTGATCCTGCTAAGGTTTAGTGGCTGCTCATGCTGCAGCTGAGTGTTGTGCCGGAACACAAACTCTCTGAATTACCAGAGATCACATTACCCTATCCACGTAGCAAATGCTGCAGGGCTTCATGCAGCGCTTGCCGGAGAGTGTGCATGTCAATTTGCCCGATTCTGGGTAGTCAGCTGCCCACCCGAGCAGCAGCGGTATCACCTTGTGCTCGACACCATTCGCATCCTTCAGTAGTACACCCCTGCATATGTCACACAACAATACGGCTGTTGGACCGAGTTACAAGCGCATCATGTCCAGGGGGTAGAAACCTACAATCAGAATGCAAGTAAGTACACACTTATGTCTGTACAAACATCTAATCTTACCTCTCTTTCAGTTGAACCAGAGTTTCCATCAACTTGGCCACGCAGGTGTTGAAAATCTCAACCTTCAGGTCATTTGGCATGTCTTTGGGAGGTATAGGGAGCATTGCTAGCAATGAATGCCCTGCTGGACCCCAACGCTTAGGAAAAGGGATGTTGCCAAGTGTCATCATAACTCGATGGGCCTGCTTTTTGCCATTACTTCTGAGGTGCGTGACGTCGCTGTAGAAAATGAGAGCGGCTATCACAGCATCAGGTCCTACCAATTCCTGGGTGCAAAATTCAGGTAAAAAGCATAGTTGGGTTTCAGCCGAGAATTTCCCGGATTCACATAGGGGAGGAGAAAGTAACCTTGCACTTGAAGCCAAGAAACTGGATGGCACATCTAAAGCTCAAATGTACTCTGAGACTAAACACAACATGGGACAACGTACCTGAGCATCATGCCACCATGTCCCAGTCTCTGCTGTGGTGTAGGCACGCTGTCGACTATCCGAATCGACCTCCTTCCGTGGCCTGAAACGAAAGCCGCTGGAGTTCTGTTTGGCAGTACACATGTCTTCCAGAGCCTGAAAAAAACGCATGTGAGACATGTCCGCGGGAGAGTGAGACATGCGAGAAGAGTAGTGAGACATGTCAGCAGGGAACTGAGGCATGTCAGCAGGGGAAGTGAGACATGTCAGCACGGAACCGAGGCATGTCAGCAGGGGAAGTGAGACATGTCAGCAGGGAACTGAGGCATCTCAGCAGGGGAAGTGAGACATGTCAGCAGGGAACTGAGGCATGTCAGCAGGGGAAGTGAGACATGTCAGCAGGGAACTGAGGCATGCAAGAAGGGAAGTGAGGGATGTGAGCAGGGAAGGGAGACATGGCAGCAGGGGAGAGAGCAGGGAAGGGAGACATGGCTGCAGGGGAGAGAGCAGGGAAGGGAGACATGGCAGCAGGGGAGAGAGCAGGGAAGGGAGACATGGCAGCAGGGGAGAGAGCAGGGAAAGGAGACATGGCAGCAGGGGAGAGAGCAGGGAAGGGAGACATGGCAGCAGGGGAGAGAGCAAGGAAGGGAGACATGGCTGCAGTGGAGAGAGCAGGGAAGGGAGACATGGCAGCAGGGGAGAGAGCAGGGAAGGGAGACATGGCTGCAGGGGAGAGAGCAGGGAAGGGAGACATGGCTGCAGGGGAGAGAGCAGGGAAGGGAGACATGGCAGCAGGGGAGAGAGCAGGGAAGGGAGACATGGCAGCAGGGGAGAGAGAAGGGAAGGGAGACATGGCAGCAGGGGAGAGAGCATGGAAGGGAGACATGGCAGCAGGGGAGAGAGCAGGGAAGGGAGACATGGCAGCAGGGGAGAGAGAAGGGAAGGGAGACATGGCAGCAGGGGAGAGAGCATGGAAGGGAGACATGGCAGCAGGGTAGAGAGCAGGGAAGGGAGACATGGCAGCAGGGTAGAGAGCAGGGAAGGGAGACATGGCAGCAGGGGAGAGAGCAGGGAAGGGAGACATGGCTGCAGGGGAGAGAGCAGGGAAGGGAGACATGGCAGCAGGGGAGAGAGAAGGGAAGGGAGACATGGCAGCAGGGGAGAGAGCATGGAAGGGAGACATGGCAGCAGGGGAGAGAGCAGGGAAGGGAGACATGGCAGCAGGGGAGAGAGAAGGGAAGGGAGACATGGCAGCAGGGGAGAGAGCATGGAAGGGAGACATGGCAGCAGGGGAGAGAGCAGGGAAGGGAGACATGGCAGCACGGGAGAGAGCAGGGAAGGGAGACATGGCTGCAGGGGAGAGAGCAGGGAAGGGAGACATGGCAGCAGGGGAGAGAGCAGGGAAGGGAGACATGGCAGCAGGGGAGAGAGAAGGGAAGGGAGACATGGCAGCAGGGGAGAGAGCATGGAAGGGAGACATGGCAGCAGGGGAGAGAGCAGGGAAGGGAGACATGGCAGCAGGGTAGAGAGAAGGGAAGGGAGACATGGCAGCAGGGGAGAGAGCAGGGAAGGGAGACATGGCAGCAGGGGAGAGAGAAGGGAAGGGAGACATGGCAGCAGGGGAGAGAGCATGGAAGGGAGACATGGCAGCAGGGGAGAGAGCAGGGAAGGGAGACATGGCAGCAGGGGAGAGAGAAGGGAAGGGAGACATGGCAGCAGGGGAGAGAGCATGGAAGGGAGACATGGCAGCAGGGGAGAGAGCAGGGAAGGGAGACATGGCAGCAGGGGAGAGAGCAGGGAAGGGAGACATGGCAGCAGGGGAGAGAGCAGGGAAGGGAGACATGGCTGCAGGGGAGAGAGCAGGGAAGGGAGACATGGCAGCAGGGGAGAGAGAAGGGAAGGGAGACATGGCAGCAGGGGAGAGAGCATGGAAGGGAGACATGGCAGCAGGGGAGAGAGCAGGGAAGGGAGACATGGCAGCAGGGGAGAGAGCAGGGAAGGGAGACATGGCAGCAGGGGAGAGAGCATGGAAGGGAGACATGGCAGCAGGGGAGAGAGCAGGGAAGGGAGACATGGCAGCAGGGGAGAGAGCAGGGAAGTGAGACATGGCTGCAGGGGAGAGAGCAGGGAAGGGAGACATGGCAGCAGGGGAGAGAGCAGGGAAGGGAGACATGGCAGCAGGGGAGAGAGAAGGGAAGGGAGACATGGCAGCAGGGGAGAGAGCATGGAAGGGAGACATGGCAGCAGGGGAGAGAGCAGGGAAGGGAGACATGGCAGCAGGGGAGAGAGCAGGGAAGGGAGACATGGCAGCAGGGGAGAGAGCAGGGAAGGGAGACATGGCTGCAGGGGAGAGAGCAGGGAAGGGAGACATGGCAGCAGGGTAGAGAGCAGGGAAGGGAGACATGGCAGCAGGGGAGAGAGCATGGAAGGGAGACATGGCAGCAGGGGAGAGAGCAGGGAAGGGAGACATGGCTGCAGGGGAGAGAGCAGGGAAGGGAGACATGGCAGCAGGGGAGAGAGCATGGAAGGGAGACATGGCAGCAGGGGAGAGAGCAGGGAAGGGAGACATGGCAGCAGGGGAGAGAGCATGGAAGGGAGACATGGCAGCAGGGGAGAGAGCAGGGAAGGGAGACATGGCAGCAGGGGAGAGAGCAGGGAAGGGAGACATGGCAGCAGGGGAGAGAGCAGGGAAGGGAGACAACGCAGCAGGGGAGAGAGCATGGAAGGGAGACATGGCAGCAGGGGAGAGAGCAGGGAAGGGAGACAACGCAGCAAGGGAGAGAGCAGGGAAGGGAGACATGGCAGCAGGGGAGAGAGCAGGGAAGGGATACATGGCAGCAAGGGAGAGAGCATGGAAGGGAGACATGGCAGCAGGGGAGAGAGGAGGGAAGGGAGACAACGCAGCAGGGGAGAGAGCAAGGAAGGGAGACATGACATCACTTACGTGAAGTGGATTTCGGTGCAGCATGACCTGATCAGGCCAACCCTCGACCACAATGGTGGTTGTCATGTAGCCGTGCCCGGTGCTTGCCAAGTACTGGAGATGGAGCCTTTCAAGATCGCGCGAGTTTGAAATGTTGGCGTCGACGAGGTTCTTTGCTAATTCGGGATGCAATAGAAGCTGCAGCAGTCGGTTTGTATTCATCTTCGACAGTCCGTCACCCCCATTCGCGCCGTCCACGAGCTGCAGCAACTTTAGAAGCGCTGGGGTGATCTTCACACTTGTAGATGATGATGCAGATGTGTCAGCCCCGCAATCTGGTGGCGGTGCAGGGGGGATTACCGACGGTCCCTCCTCGACGGGATCGGAGGATGTACAGGTGGAGGGCATATCCTCACGAGCGCCCGTCTCGCCGTCTCTAGCAGACACTGGAGACGCCATCTCAGCATCGCGATTAGCTTGTAGAATGTGTGATTGCCGGCGTTGTGAGGTGCTATCATCTGCAGCGTCCACCCTACGTCTAACGCAGCGCCTGTAGGTAGGAGCAGGGACGGCATACACGACCCCAACACCTCCGTGTGCAGAGGTGTCTGGTGCTCCTCGCCGTAATCGCCGTCCTCGCCATGGAGCGCATGGCGAGTTTCCGCCTAGATGCCCGCCCAGCACTTGCGCATTTGGGCAGCATAGGCCGCATACGCTGCAGAAACAGGTCTCCGCCCAATCCATCTAATCAATAGCATACTATGTTCGGACCCGTGGCGATTGGTACGAGATATAAGACGCCCGCATAATGGCATCAGTATGCCTACTAAACACGAAATGACCAGAGAATGGAGTAGCAGCTTGTGGACGCGAAAACACTCGGTTGACGTGACTGTAGTGATTGCCATTGTCGCGCCACGCCTACAGTGGAAGCTAGTAGTTCTAAAAGGGAATGGCGGGAAAAAAACGCCAGCGGCGTAGAGAGATTGGCGACGCCTAACGCAGCAAAGCGCATTAGGGTTTCTCATGGTTGGGTGGTAGCGTGCCTTGTAGGGTCGGAAATTCAAACTTAGGAAAACTCGGACACACGAATCTGTACCCTATATAGCTGAACCTAATAAACTATATTTGCTTGAGGTAGATACTAAACTATCAACTTTGGTTCGCAGACCAACTACGCAATTCTAATTTGATGATTACGTCTGTCTGATCTACACACAAACAATACACGTACCATCATGCTTGCTAAACACAAAATGACAACGCAAAACCATGATACATTTGTACGCCATCCAATGTTCAAACGGCACAGCGTGTTCATCCAGCCTATCATGGCACATTATTCAACCAACCTTAATGAAAGAGTTGGAAACATGGGAGGGATCTAGAATTATTGAAAGGCGTGCCTTCCCCAAAAATCAGAGCATACAGAGTAGTAGAGGTTGGAGAAATCACCAGAAGTGCATAATCAGCAACGTCGCTGGAAATGTAACTGTTGCATACAGAGCCAGGCATGAAATACCTATCTAACCTTGCTGGAAAGACCTGGAAACTTGTGAGGGGTCTAGAACTAGTGCAAGGAGTGCCTCATCCAAAAATCAGAGCATGCAGAGAATTAGACGTTGGTGAATTCAGTAAAAGTGCGTAAGCAGGCAACGTCGCTGGAAGTAGAGCTGCTACATACAGAGTAAGGCATGAAATACCTATCTAACCTTGTTGGATAGACCTGAAAACTTGTGAGGGATCTATAACTAGTGCAAGGAGTGCCTCATCCAAAAATTAGAGCATGCAGAGAATTACGTTGGTGAATTCACTAAAAGTGCGTACGCAAAAAGCGTCGCTGGAAGTAGAGCTGCTGCATACAGAGTAAGGCATGATATACCTATCTAACCTTTTTGGAAAGACCTGGAAACTTGTGAGGGATCTAGAAATAGTGCAGAGAGTGCCTCATCCTAAAATCAGAGCATGCAGAGAATTAGACGTTGGTGAATTCACTAAAGTGCGTAAGCAGGCAACGTCGCTGGAAGTAGAGCTGCTGCATACAGAGTAAGGCATGAAATACCTATCTAACCTTGTTTGAAAGACCTGGAAACTTGTGAGGGATCTAGAACTAGTGTAAGGAGTGCCTCATCCAAAAATTAGAGCATGCAGAGAATTAGACGTTGGTGAATTCAGTAAAAGTGCGTAAGCAGGCAACGTCGCTGGAAGTAGAGCTGCTGCATACAGAGTAAGGCATGAAATACCTATCTAACCTTGTTGGATAGACCTGGAAACTTGTGAGGGATCTAGAACTAGTGCAAGGAGTGCCTCATCCAAAAATCAGAGCATGCAGAGAATTACGTTGGTGAATTCACTAAAAGTGCGTACGCAAAAAACGTCGCTGGAAGTAGAGCTGCTGCATACAGAGTAAGGCATGATATACCTATCTTACCTTTTTTGAAAGACCTGGAAACTTGTGAGGGATCTATAAATAGTGCAGGGAGTGCCTCATCCAAAAATCAGAGCATGCAGAGAATTAGACGTTGGTGAATTCACTAAAAGTGCGTAAGCAGGCAACGTCGCTGGAAGTAGAGCTGCTGCATACAGAGTAAGGCATGAAATACCTATCTAACCTTGTTGGAAAGACCTGGAAACTTTTGAGGGATCTAGAACTAGTGCAAGGAGTGCCTCATCCAAAAATCAGAGCATGCAGAGAATTACGTTGGTGAATTCACTAAAAGTGCGTACGCAGGCAACGTCGCTGGAAGTAGAGCTGCTGCATACAGAGTAAGGCATGAAATACCTATCTAACCTTTTTGGAAATACCTGGAAGCTTGTGAGAGATCTAGAAATAGTGCAGGGAGTTCCTCATCCAAAAATCAGAGCATGCGGGGCAGTAGAGGTTGGTGAAATCACTAAAAATGCGTAAGCAAGCACCGTCGCTAGAAGTATAACTGCTGCATACAGAGCAAGGCATGAGATACATATCTAATCTTGTTGGAAAGACCTGGAAACTTGTGAGGGGTCTAGAACTAGTGGAAGAAGTGCCTCATCCAAAAATCAGAGCATGCAGAGAATTAGACGATGGTGAATTCACTAAAAGTGCGTAAGCAAGCAACGTCGCTGGAAGTAGAGCTGCTGCATACAGAGCAAGGCATGAAATACCTATGTAACCTTTTTGGAAAGACCTGGAAATTTGTGAGGGATCTAGAAATAGTGCAGGAAGTGCCTCGTCCAAAAATCAGAGCATGAGGAGCAGTAGAGTATGGTGAAATCACTAAAAATGCGTAAGCAAGCAACGTCGCTAGAAGTATAACTTCTGCATACAGAGCAAGGCATGAGATACATATCTTGAGAAGAATAGAACGAGAATGAATCGACTATGAATGAAGTGAGTACATATAGGAAACCCTGATTGGGTTGTACCCCCTATGGGATACCCCACTATAGCCTACACAAATATATATAAGCTATAATGTTCTGACACACCCCCATAGGCAAAGTGGGGGAGAACAAGGGGTCACAAGACCAGTCAAGCAAAGCAAAGCAAAGCTCAGGGTGGATCACAAAGTCACCACACATTCCGAGCACAAGTTCAAAGGCCAAAAAGGCCATTTCACATGCAAGATCACACATATATATATATATATACAAGAGGCTAAGCAAGCAAGAGCAAGAGTATATGTATGTGACAATACAAGCAAGGTCAAGAAGTGAGCAAGTGAGGCAAGACAGGCACAAGACCCAGCTGAGTGCAGAAGCGCTGATGAACTCAAGGCGCAAGTGCCTTGGTGAAGACATCAGCACTGTTGGCCTCAGAGGCCACGTACGCAAGCCGCAATTGTCCACGCTGCTGTAGCTCACGCGCAAGAAAGTAGCGGAGAGCATTGTGCTTTGTCCTGTGCTCCGGTCGCTGCTCTCGACACAAGGCCAGCATAGCCTTGTTGTCTACGTACAGGACTGGAGGAGAACGAGGCGGCTCTCCAAGGTCGGTCAGCAGGTAGGTGAGCCAGCGAAGCTCCTGGGCAGCCATAGCCCCGGCGTAGATCTCAGCCTCACAACTGGAGCCGAGAATAGAAGACGAGCGGGTAGCCCGCCACGAAACAGAACCGGAACCAAGACTGAAGGTGTAACCCTGTGACGACCGCTGCGTAGCCTGGTCGTCAGCCCAAGAAGCGTCCGCGTGCCCAGTGAGGACCACTGGACTCCGCCCTCCAAGCACTAGCCCCATGCCCGACGTACTGCACAAGTAGCGCAACAACCTCTTCGCTGCAGCCATGTGCTCTGGTCGGTGTCTCCCAGGAGCAACATAGCGTGCGAGAATGCTAAGAGGGTATGCAAGGTCAGGTCGAGTGCAGGTCATCAGGTACATGAGGCAGCCAACAAGCTCTGGATACGGGGCACTCGACTCTACGGACTCATCCGAAGGCAGAGCTGAGAGCGAGTGGCGGGTAGGCAGAGGAGTGGCCTGAGGCGAGGAGTATGTGAAGCCGAAGCGGTGAAGGACCTGCTGCACCATGTGTGACTGAGTCTGGGTAATGGTGCGGCGTGCTCTGTCCCGGGTGATCTGCAAGCCAAGGTAGCTGCGCAGTTCACCCAGGTCAGTGCACGTGTGTCTCTTCTGCAGCTCGGACTTCACGTAGGCGAGTCCAGCAGTGTCAGCAGTGGCAAAGACCAAGTCGTCGACGTACACGAGGATGTAGAACGGCGGCAGAGAGGTGTCGGTGCGCAGAAACAGCGATGGGTCGGCAGTAGAAGGAGCAAACCCAAGTGCCGCGAGCGTAGTCCTCAGTGTGTCGTGCCACTCACGTGGCGCCTAGCGGAGACCGTAGACTGGAAACCGGAGACTCCACTGGGTTCCAGGAGGGAAAGACCCAGTGAAGCCAGGTGGGCGGCGCAGCCAGATCTCCTCGTTCAGGCTGCCCTGCAAGAAAGCAGTGCTGAAGTCGAGAGAGTGCAGCTCGTAGTCACGGTGAGCAGCAACGTGCAGCAAAACCCGAAGAGTGGTCATCTTCGGGGTGGGGGAGAAGGTCTGAAAGTAGTCAACTCCCTGCCGCTGGCTGAAG